AATGAGTTTGGACAGTTCACTGGGTAGGCTGTCATTCTGAGTTGAGTATTTTGACACTTCATTTTATCTGCAAGTATGTGCGTGAGAGAGGAGTTAAAGAGATACAGTGAGCGAGAGAGAGAGAGAGAGAGAGAGAGAGAGAGAGAGAGAGAGAGAGAGAGAGAGAGAGAGAGAGAGAGAGAGAGAGAGAGAGAGAGAGAGAGAGAGAGAGAGAGAGAGAGAGAGAGAGAGAGAGAGAGAGAGAGAGAGAGAGAGAGAGAGAGAGAGAGAGAGAAAGGCATTCTCTCCTGGCGCCAGTATTCGGGAGATCCTACTGAGAAACACACACACACACTCCTCAAACAGGGTTTGACCCACAACCACTTTACACCCTCACTCAAATGAACGCCCTTTCCCCTGGCAACACCAGCTGTGTGCTGACTATGCAATTCTCATATAATTACTTTTTAACAATTTATTGGGTTCAGCGGCTGCACAACAGTACAGCAAAAGGAATGAAAATGTAAATTACAATGGGGACTGTAAGGAACATGGTGTGAAATCCTGTGTGTTCTTTAGGTTTTATGATATTTGAGTCTTGTGTGGAAAGTTGTGTGTGCTTTTTACTTTTTAAATGCATTCTTTTTATATTTAAAAGCCGGCATGAAACGGAAGTTGTGATAGTCTTTAGAGTGAAACGGAAAGAAAAAAAATGTAGAGCGGGACTTGATTTTGTCCATAGGGAATTGACTGGATGGTTGTGGTTTACTATTGGTGGATCTCATGTGAGTGACAGGTTGATCCCGCCCTCACGCCAGTAAACACGTCATCAGAGAAGAGATGCAAGAGGGAGAGGAAGGTATTTTAATTATAGATTATGAGGGCACATGAATTGGTAACACTTTACAATAAGGTCTAATTTATTAACATTAATTAATGTATTAATTAACATGATCTAACAACGAGAAATACATTTTTACAATAATGTTACAGTATTTATTCATCTTTGTTAACATTAGTTAATAAAAAATACAGCTGTTCATTGTTTGTTCATGTTAGTTCACATTGCATGATTAACTAATGTTAACAAATATAACTTTTGATTTTAAATATGTGTTAGTAAATGTGGAAATTTCATGGTGACTTTAAATTGTTTAAATATAAGTTACATAAAATACAGTCTATAAAAATGTAAAAACTTTTTAAAATTAAAATATGAATAAGTCACGTTTTTTATATTTTGACAAATACACTATATTATATAATTTAAGGTTTGAGTTTTGTTTTTCCCTTTGATATCATTTGTTAATTAAATTAAATTAAATTTGTATTAACTTCAATCCTTTTTAATGAAATATTTTATTTAGTTTATTATTTTTACCATCACCATTGTTAAATACTACTGGTACCACTTTACAATAAGGTCTAACTTGTTAACATTAGTAAATTCATGAACTAACAATGAGCAATACATTCTTACAGCAGTTATAAACCTTTGTTAATGTTAGTTAATAAAAATGTTCTGTTCATGGTCATGTCAATTCACTTTGCCAAAATTATGTTGGCATTAGTGGAATTGCATTAGCATGGTTTAAATCATACTTATCTGACCGTTATCAGTTTGTAGCAGTAAATGAAGAGATGTCTTATCGATCACAAGTTCAGTATGGCGTACCACAAGGCTCAGTATTAGGACCGTTGCTGTTCACTCTGTACATGCTACCCTTAGGAGATATCATTAGGAAGCACGGCATTAGTTTACACTGTTATGTTGATGATACTCAGCTCTATATTTCTTCACGCCCTGACGAAACTTACCAATTCACAAAATTAACGGAATGCATAGCTGATATAAAAAACTGGATGACTAGTAATTTCCTACAACTTAATTCTGAAAAAACAGAGATTCTAATTATTGGACAAAAAACTTCCTCATGTAATAACCTAGAATATAGTCTAACACTTGATGGCGTCTCTGTCAAGTCTTCGTCGTCGGTTAGGAACCTTGGTGTGCTCTTTGATACCAATCTTTCATTTGAAAGTCACGTGTCTAGTATCTGTAAAACCGCATTTTTCCATCTTAAAAATATATCTAAATTGCGTCATTTGCTCTCAATGACAAATGCGGAAACAATTAGTTCATGGGTTCATGACATCAAGGCTAGATTATTGTAGTGCTATTATGGGTGGTTGCCCTGCACGCTTAATAAACAAACTACAGCTGGTCCAAAACGCAGCAGCTCGAGTTCTTACCAGAACCAGGAAGCATGACCATATTAGCCCGGTTCTGTCAACACTGCATTGGCTCCCTATTAAACATCGTATACATTTTTAAATATAGCTGATTGCTTACAAAGCACTAAATGGTTTAGCTCCGCAGTACTTGAGCGAGCTCTTAACGCATTATAGTCCTTCACGTCTATTGCGATCTCAAAATTCCAGCCAGTTGATAATACCTAGAATATCAAAATTGACTGCTGGCGGTAGATCCTTTTCCTATTTAGCACCAAAACTTTGGAACAGTCTTCCTAGTATTGTCCGGGAAGCAGACACACTCTGTCAGTTCAAATCTAGACTAAAAACACATCTCTTTGGCCTAGCATACACATAACACATTATAGACTTCTATAATTCAATGTTAGGCGGCATATAGGTTAGCCGGAACCGGGAACACTTCCCATAAATCCTGATGTACTTGTTACATCATAAGAAGGATGGCGTCTACGCTAATATTAGTCTCTCTGTTTATTCCGAGGTTTACCGCAGTCCGCCGGATCCAGGCCGTATCCAGATCTGATGAAGGACCTGCGCCTGGACACGACGACAACGCAGTCCTGAAGTGTCGCTAGTCCCTCCCTGTGAAGGCCTCCTTCCCTTTACCTCTGTACAGATAAAACGTTGTTGGGATAATTCCAGTTCACGTGACTACGCCGAAGTGATAAATAATTCTCTATTATAAATTTTTAAGGCCAGACAAGTAGTTTGTTGAGGGTTGGTTTGTAAAGAAGGACTACACACCTGCACACAAATATATTCAAACGCGCATACCTATAGGCTAAACACGTGATGCGTTTTTGAGGTTTGCGGAGATATAACCTTTTTTTTTTTTTTTTTTTTAGGCTTGCACCTTGGAATCTATTTTTCAGGGTTTGCATTCTTCGCATTGCCACCAGGCACTGCGGCCGGAGCGCGTTGAGTGTTTTCTGTTAGAACGGTGTCGTGTTAGCGGCCCCTAAGTTAATAACTAATGATCTTTGCAACGGAAGTGAATCAATCAATCAAAACTAACTTTAGCTGGACAATAACTTTATTCTAGAGCTGATTAAGATTAAGAAATGCACTGAGAATGACTGTAAATATACCACTACCAGAGGTGGACAGTAACAAAGTACATTCACGTGAGTACTGTACTTAAGTACACTTTTTTTTTTAATAATAGTTGGTATGGAAATAATATTATATTAGTTAGACAGCTATAGACAAACTCAAATGGTAATTATCTGGTTATTATCTTATAGTGAATTCTTGGGTAAATGTGGGTTTCCAGTTACACCAAAAGAGTATGCTCTTGTATTTGGCGCCATACCTCAACAAGTTATACATTTCGTTAGAACTTGTGGAAGTGATTATTCTGAGGTAATATATAAAGACAGCATGTTTCTAGGAGACATTGATATTCTGAAACACAGTTGTAGCCTACTAATAAACATATTAGGTATATTTTACCAGGTGAAACAGCTACTCATAAAAGCTCATTGTGGACTAGTGTATTTAGAAATATAAACTGGAATCAAGCTTGGTATTGTGAAGCATACTGTTTAAATAATAAAGTAAAAGACATTTTACATGGTATATATCCAGCTAAAAGGGTGTTAGAGAGAATTAATTTAGATATTGATTATTCATGTGATTTTTGTTCAATAGAAAAATAATCTATTATCCATCTGTTTTGTGATTGTATACACACATTTCTTTTGGTGGATGTGGAAAATTTCATTAGAAAGAAACCATGTTATAATTAAATTAATTAACGTGGTATGTTTTATTCCAATGAAAGTAATAATAATAATTTAGCTTTTATTGTACAACTTTTTATTATTTTGGGATAGAAAGAAATGGTCAGGATCCAAGCCAAATTTTATGCATTTTCTTCAGGAGATCAAGGATTATTGCACCAGTCTGGAGAACAGTGTCAACAAGAAAGCCTTGTCATATCTCGAATGAATATAAATTTTTTTTATCAATTTGTACACTCTGGCATGTTTGTCTGTTTTTTCTTTTACTTTTTTTTTTTGGATCTATTAAGATATAAATTCTATACTACTAAAGTTTGTTGGATAAAAAAAAATAAAAAGTGAAGGAAAAAAAGTGGAAAAAAACCCCTACACTTTGAGTATGTGCTTTACTTGAGTGTTATTTTTTCTGGAAACTCTTTACATTAACTTCACTACATTTGAAAGACAAATATCGTACTTTTTACTTCACTTCATAGATGTGTACTTCTTTTGTTGGGGGTGGTAGGACTGTTAAAAATAAATAAAAAAGATGATGATTACGGCTGTCTTTTTTTTGTCAAGTCAGTTGTTTAATTTCTATAGGTTTTATAACCTTTTAAAAGCTCTTTATTCCACAGATGCTATAACTGGTGTATTCACTAAGTTGCTTCAGAGGCATAAGGTACTGTAAGTATTACATACAACAATAATAAAACAATGCATTTACTTTTGATACTTAAGTACTTTTAAAAACGAGTACCTCTGTACTTTTACTTTTAGTAAAAATCGGTCTTTACAACTTTTACTTGTAAAAGTCATATTTGACCAGTAGCATGTGTACTTTAACTCAAGTAAGGAAGTTGTGTACTTTGTTCACCTCTGACTGCTACTAATAAATGATGTGTTATGCCTTCCTGTTAATTTACAGCACCAGTTTTAGAATCAAGGGTCTGGATTTTCTGAATGGCAACCTATACAGCATTAGAAGTACAACAGAAACTCGAATGCAATGACAGAACACAGCGCTGGTGAATACTGAAACCTTTATTCTGTTATTATCCATTGAGGATGGATGAATTTTTGTCGCACACAGAAATGAGTAATACTGCAGGGTTTATGATTTCATCTGCGGACCCTTACAAGAACCCCAATTCATCTCTCCTGCAAATGACTAAGATAAATACATAAATAAATACACATTAGAACTTTACATGTTTACAGCCATTGAAAAAAATAATACAGATCACCATAGATAAATATAAAGCACAATAAGTGAACAAAGGGGGAAACATATTCTAAGTTTATACATTCATGAGGCGTGATCACATTCTTGAACTTTCTCTTGAAAACGTATAACATTAATTAAACATTTAAATAGCTGCTGGTGCTTAGTGTGTAAATGTTTCAGCACACAAACAAACAGAAACATTTTACAATTTTTTAAGACCTAAAAATGGTTGTTTACCATTATTCCAATTTACATTCATTTTTCAAATTCTAGGATGGAACAAGGCAAGCATGCAAGTGTGTATAAAATCTACCGTTTGCACCAATCATTTCGTCCTCACGATCAAAAGTCAGATCTCATTTAGTAAAATGTACAAAAAAGAAACCAAAACTCCAGTGTAAGTCACTATTCTCTTCTAAATCAAAGACACATTGCTTGAAGACAACAATCAGTAGTTCGAGTTGATTTTAGGGAAAAAGATCGGAGTTTTTGGAATGCTTTTTCTTGCCAATGCACTTGTTTCTCAGATGCACTGCAGTTCATTAGAGCACGATTCACAGCCAATGCACAGTTCATTACACTAATCTAAATGACTCCAAATGAAACCATAAGCGAGAACTAACGCCTAACACGTCGCAGAATTACAAGCAGCACGACTAAACCTACAATGAGACGTGCCATCGGAAAACGTGGCGCAGTGACATTTAAAACGGATCATCCTAGATTTCTTCTAAACGGGTATGGAGCATCGGGAGTAGAAGTCGGAGTGGCTGAAAGCATTTGTATTGCAAAAGACTGAGAAAGTAGAAACCTGGGAACCCCCCACAGGCTTCACTTCAGACATTTGTGTGCGTCACAGTTAATCTAAATAGTTATTCGCATCATATTCCCCACATATTAAACACAAAACACACACACAAACCCCTTTCCGATTGACGTCACCATGAACATTTCTGGATTGTGTCCTCACAAACCCTTTCAGATGAATGAAAGAGTTACTTCTCGGGGTGGTTGACGTCGTCCTTCATGACCGGGAGCCAGGGAGGGGACAGCTCTGGGATGTTCTTCTTGGCCTGGTTGAGGTGGGTGATGGCGGTGTACAAGCTGCCCCTGGAGCTCTGCTCAGGGTAGTACATCTCCAGAGCCGCCGGGGTGCAGTGTCTGTGCTGGATCAGAAAGTGGACGTTTGCAAATAAAAGGTTAGACGGGAATACATTAACTAGTACGGAGAAGGTCAGGCAGGTTCTCTAATAAATCAAACATAAAGGTGAATGTCACAGAGCTCTGCGCTCCTGTTGATGTAGCATCGGTAAAGCGGACAAACCGCTGAAACACTTCCATTTACACGCATGAATATATTTGGGGAAATCGATATTGTGTAAGTGGACAAAGTCTTTCTATCTCCATCTCCATCCAAGTAAAAATATATTCTAAAATTACATATTATTTTCATCTGTTATCTTGAAAATGTACATTGCATTGTGGGAAACTGTCCTCCACGCAGTGTGGTCTGGTGTAAAATACTCATTTGAGAAAATAGTAGATCATCTGGGCTTTCTGTAATACAGAAAATTTGCATACAGTGCAAAATGTACATTCTATAATATAAAAGAGAAGTTTGGCCGTGTAATATTTCGAGCAGAGTATGTCTTCAACCTACCTTTTTTTTGGTCAATGTTGAAAAAACAACTAATTTACCATGTAATACATATTCTTATGTATAGAATGCAAAAAGAAGAAAGGAACATTCTTAAAGTACATACTAATACCAAAACTAAAAAGCTTACAGAACTTATTAAATTATTATTATTAGAAATTATATAAAAAAAAACTCTCAATGTGGCTCTGACTATTTCTATGGAATGCGAACTATGAAAGGTTTATTACATTTCCAATTTGTAAAACAGATGCTTAAAAGCATAAAGTGACAGTTGAGCAAAGAGTGCCTACAGTTACCCATCCATCCCGCAGCAAAATAATAGAAAATAAGGCGTTTTGTGACTGAAAGGCGTCAATCAAGAGACGTCAACATGCCAACGCTTCCATAAACCTCATTCCATCTTAACAAGAGGCAGTTTTCCCGCTCTTCAAGTTAGCAACGCTACATTAGTGTGGCACGCTAATTACAGCAGTGGTATCTGCATCAAAGGGGGAGAGGTGGAAACCCCTGCAGGCCTTAATCACAGTTTAGTCATGCTTCAGACTAATTAAAGACATTCTCACACTCCGACAAAGCTTTAGATGCTGTCTGAAGACGACTAAGCTTGGCTGAGCTGTGAACTAAATATGTTAAACGAAATATCACACGAACTAAAGATTCAGTTAATACTTAATCGCTCTGCTCCAAAACCTAGTAGGCTGCCTAGTGAATTTTCTGTGTTACTGGTAGCTAAAATACCACCATTCGGAGACGCTTCCCTGAGAGTGGAAAAGTAGGATGCGTTCAGAAAAAAAAAATCATGTTGAGATGTCATATGGGCATGCTAGGGTCATACTAGCCACAGGCTAGTTCTCACTAAAGCCACAAGTGCAGACATTAGCTCAATGCAGTGTGTGATCGGTCATCTACATTTCAGACCGAAAATGGTTTCTAAAGTAGAGCACAGATGATCTCCATCAGCAGGGACAGAGCTAGTGTGTTTACCTGGAGAACGAAGCCCTCGGGGCAGCCGAGCTGATCGTACCACAGCGCTTTATACATGACCAACAGCAGCAGACACGCCAGGAACGCCAAGGTAATAATGATCAACCCAGTCAGCTGGAAAACAGACACTCACACATGAACTCATGCCTTCTGTTTTTATTCCCATTTTTGGATTACCCTCACAAACAAAGAGACAGATGTGTAGGATGAATGTTTAAAACTGCTTTACCTTGAGCTTCTCTGACATCTCATCATAAAGGTTTATGTTTAGCTTCTTGATGCTGGGCACATACATCTTCCTCTTCTTCTCCTTCAGCTGATACTCTGTTGTGGTTTTCACAATCACCTATAGAGTCAGAGAGAAAGAATGAACTATTAAAAGTTCCACATAATGAACAGAATGAGAGGGGGCTGGGCAGAAACCACAAGAATGGGTTCGCTGCTTTCATAGTAAGCTTTAGAAACCCTAATGGAAAACCTGAAGCGGGTAGCAGTGTTTTCCAATGTCATCGCTGGTTTCTAGCTTGTCAACCAGCTATCATGTTCTTGACATGGATTGAGATTGTCTACCAGCTTGTGACTCGCACACAATGAGTCGAAAAAAAGTATTGAAAAGCCAAAGTAGAGTCCAACCAAGCCTTATGTACTCCAAATTTGTGATTCATTCATTTAAATGGATGAGTTCAATTTTACGTGGTTTTCTTTCTCAGTTAACGCCCTATACACTAAACCCTGCTCTAAATCTAACTGAAATTGTTAGAGTCCCTGTGTGGTGAAAATCAATCTTTTAAATGTTGTTAATATGTCTATGTGGTGTTTTTAGACAAACCATGTGTAAGTTCATCAGTCAACACCATTGCTGAGTATTTTCTCCTTAAAAATGCAGTGAACCAAAGACAGTCTCAAAAACACGGTTTGAAAGCTCTGGTGTTTGTGACGTCACAAACTACCTTGTAACCAATCATGTCAACGTGTGATCGTCAACGAGTGGATCTCTGAGCTGGTGTGAGTGAGTGGAGGCGGGGCTAATTTGCATATTCATGGAAACGTGTATACTAAATGAGGCACAGGTGTAGTTACATTCAAGCTTTTTTAAGGCATGACACTTTTTTTTTCAAGGAAAAATAAGTATTCATGAATCAATAATTGTACAAAAATAATAATTACGATTTGTGTGAATAAAAGTCATTGGTGTTTTACTGCCACTACTTTTCGATTCAGCTGGAAGCTGAAGTGAATTGTATGTACACTCACCTAAAGGATTATTAGGAACACCATACTAATACTGTGTTTGACCCCCTTTCGCCTTCAGAACTGCCTTAATTCTACGTGGCATTGATTCAACAAGGTGCTGAAAGCATTCTTTAGAAATGTTGGCCCATATTGATAGGATAGCATCTAGCAGTTGATGGAGATTTGTGGGATGCACATCCAGGGCACGAAGCTCCCGTTCCACCACATCCCAAAGATGCTCTATTGGGTTGAGATCTGGTGACTGTGGGCCATTTTAGTACAGTGAACTCATTGTCATGTTCAAGAAACCAATTTGAAATGATTCGAGCTTTGTGACATGGTGCATTATCCTGCTGGAAGTAGCCATCAGAGGATGGGTACATGGTGGCCATAAAGGGATGGACATGGTCAGAAACAATGCTCAGGTAGGCCGTGGCATTTAAACGATGCCCAATTGGCACTACGGGGCCAAAAGTGTGCCAAGAAAACATTCCCCACACCATTACACCACCACCACCAGCCTGCACAGTGGTAACAAGGCATGATGGATCCATGTTCTCATTCTGTTTACGCAAAATTCTGACTCTACCATCTGAATGTCTCAACAGAAATCGAGACTCATCAGACCAGGCAACATTTTTCCAGTCTTCAACTGTCCAATTTTGGTGAGCTCTTGCAAATTGTAGCCTCTTTTTCCTATTTGTAGTGGAGATGAGTGGTACCCGGTGGGGTCTTCTGCTGTTGTAGCCCATCCGCCTCAAGGTTGTGCGTGTTGTGGCTTCACAAATGCTTTGCTGCATACCTCGGTTGTAACGAGTGGTTATTTCAGTCACTGTTGCTCTTCTATCAGCTTGAATCAGTCGGCCCATTCTCCTCTGACCTCTAGCATCAACAAGGCATTTTCGCCCACAGGACTGCCGCACACTGGATGGTTTTCCCTTTTCACACCATTCTTTGTAAACCCTAGAAATGGTTGTGCGTGAAAATCCCAGTAACTGAGCAGATTGTGAAATACTCAGACCGGCCCGTCTGGCACCAACAACCATGCCACGCTCAAAATTGCTTAAATCACCTTTCTTTCCCATTCTGACATTCAGTTTGGAGTTCAGGAGATGTCTTGACCAGGACCACACCCCTAAATGCATTGAAGCAACTGCCATGTGATTGGTTGATTAGATAATTGCATTAATGAGAAATTGAACAGGTGTTCCTAATAATCCTTTAGGTGAGTGTTATGTACTGTTCATTTTTTGGAATTTCACAAAAATGTAAACAGAGGCACATTTTCCCAGCGAGCCTGTGTTGTAGGATGCACAGGATGTTACTTCAGCACATTACAAATGCAGAGAGCTCCTGCTACTATATCATTTTGTCATCTTTTAGATGAGTCATTGCAAAGTTAAATCCAAACTCTGCTTTGCGTTTCCACCCGTTGCACTAGCCTCCTACAGAGCTAAGAATAGATACTAGCCATCTGTGAGAGTCCTGACATGAGCGTGTGTGTGCGTTTGCAAGATCAGATGGTTTGCAAAGCCTTTCAGTGACAAAGTGTATCATACTCGGTGACAATGAATCTTGATGGTGCCATATGAATTCTTTCTTTCATCCGCTAGGATCTAACAGGGTGGTTTCTAGTTGTCTTTGATGGTATCAGCGATACTGGATGTCTGCCGGTCCACCTCCGGCTTCCTATGACATTCTTCCTCTTAATGAAGTTCTATGCAGAGTAATGAATAACAGAGGTGTGTTGCTGTCTTTCATATGGCTCTATGCGTGGGTTCTGCTCTCTACTGCACGAACGGTAATTACCTTATCAGGGAACGGCTGCTGTAACTGTCCGACCTCCAGTGGAGTGATGAGGGGGATGTTGTCGAAACCGTCCTCGACCGACGGCTGTCTCGTCACCTTTTCCGCCAGGTTACTGCCTAGTTTCACCATATCTGAAACAAACACACACAATTAGATATTATATTTGGGAAAAAAAAGTCTGTGTCTGAGGGGTCTGCTGTTGGAGCTCTGTGATGCTGTTACTCAGTTACTGTGAATCTCTCTTCATCTCATTATGACACACTTACGACTGTGATAATTCACCAACACACACACACTCACGTCTTACTCATTAGCTGACTGAGGAAAACTACCTCTCTCTCGTTATCTTCTTCCATCCTAATAGGCTGTTATAGAGCTCTCTACAGAATACAAAACATATAAACACAATAACCACTTGTGATAGATGGAAATGTCAGTCCATATTAAGCCATTTTGCGATTTTCCACATTGGCCAGTAAAAAGCTAGCTGTGATCGGGCATGGTAGCCCCTATATGCCATTCCCATAATTGAAATGATTAATTTAAAAACATTTTGGAGTGAATTAAGTAAAGATTGTATATTAGCTCAGATTTAGCTCTTTAATGTGGTTCATATTAGAGATTAATCAAGCCAAAAATGTTGATATGAAAGGGCGATATGACTGAGTTATAAAAAAACCCCAAAACAATCACGATTAACTTTTTTATGTGACATTTAGTGCGGAAGAATAGCCTGTGCATCAAATATGCCCTGTTTATATATGTAAACCATACTTTGCAAATGGGGACCAAACATATTCCATAGATCAATCAATGTGTTTTTCCCGTAGTAGCCTACTTTATGTTATGATGCATTTTAAATGTACAATTTATCAATTTAAAATGGATTGCTGAAAAAACATCCGTTGGTTTTCATCATTGTTAACACCTAATAATGTTCTTTAGACAACGCACTATATTTGAAACTGTATTCAAACAAGTAAACTGATGTTTGCTGTTCTGACACAAACACTGCACGTGAAGCAGGCCAAGAACAGGCGGATTTTATTGGCTCTATCAAGGTTATCCGAGATGCCCAACATGTACCGCACATCAGCATACGTGTGTGTGTGTGTGTGTCCACACCGGGGTTTGGGCACAGACCAGCAGCACTGAAATCTCGTCAAATCATAAACAACGTTATAATCGACTACAGCATGTACATTCAGGACAAACGCTTAAAACGCGATTTGTAGGCCTATTTCATCACACGCATTATGCACTAACAATGGACCATACGCAACAGCTGCGCGTTCACCGAGATATTATTCCTCAGGATAATGATGGATGTTTTTGATTCTAACGATGCACTAAAAGAATTTCGATTGGAAAATTTTAATTAACGGAATAAATTCTATGTTCTCTAATATCAGCCGTTTAGAAACAACGACAAAGGCGAAATGGACATCGAATAACACAGCCTACCATTTGTCTTTCGTCGGAAATGAAATACAAATACTCACTGGTTTCCCTGCGGTTGTCTTGATGGTGCTGATGCTGACGGAGCTTTAGCTGTTATTATGGCGGTGTGTGTGGGTGCGCGCGCGCGTGTGAATCACTGAAGCGCACCCGCGGCCGTCGCCGCTGTATGATGTCAGCCGCATCGCAGCACATAACTGGCTGATCAATGTGACAAATTCCTATTACACATGATATTCACAATTACGTCGGGCATCTGTGGGGGTGATCTATGTTAATGAAAATGGCAGTAGCCTGATATTTTCAGGTGTCTTGCAAAAAGAGTCCTTGCGCTCTACGCGGATAAAAAAAGGTGGTTTTAAAGCAAGTGACATTTAAATTAAATTATTAAATATACATGTATAAAATACGTTTGACTCGAAAGATGGAATCGTTTCGTAGACTACAATTATTTGGCAATATCATTTACAATTATATTATTATTACAATGTCTCATCTAGAACATCATAATTTGTTTTCATTAGTCAATATTTTAAATGTAGGCTATTCTCTTATTTGTTCTTTGTTAAACTATAGGCGAATAAGTTAAACATATTTTTCCAATGTGTTCTTTTTGAGTCAAAGGTTTTACAGAGACATAAAACAATTACATAACAAGTGCACTAAATAATCAAGCTTTTAACCATGACGTAGGCTAGGCTACTGTATTCTCCGGACAACAGTTTTATTTTTATTTTACATTACAATATTTGTTGGCCAAAGTAATAGTTTAGCCTACTGTACGCTACGTGATCATATGAATGTGAAGATCTAGAAATTGCACTGTGAGAAAAAAAGAAGAATAAAATCGTAACAAGAATAGTCTATACTTTCAATCCTTGCCCCGCATAGCTAGCCTATATAATTTAGCTGATAATTGATTTTTATCCTGAGACATTTTTCATTATTGGCATTTTGGCAATTGTCATTGCGTATAGCCTAATAACACACTGAACAGAAAGACAGCCTATGGAAATTTTATTATCTCGAGTATGCTGTGGATTTACCAAACGTTATGAATGTATCATGCCAAGTCTCTCATCTACTAGTCTATCGTGTCAGTTTACATTTCTTTTTTCTCCCCTTCAGTTAACTGTAGCTAATCTTCGAAATTTAGTTAGATAGAGTCTTTTTTTAGCTTAGTCATAATTTTGAGTCAATTATATTTCAGTATGCATAGGCTCCTTTATTAAATCGTTCCCAATGAAGACTGTATTCTGTACTTCATGCATCAAAAGCATAGACTCAGGTTCGAGACCAAAATATTTTGCAGTAATAAGCAACATTGCCACCTAGTGTCAGTATTTTAAAAAAACGTAAATATGCCTTAAACAGCATTTTAAACGTTACTTTATTGATTAATACATTTCTGGAACCTTCTGGAATCCTAAAATAAATTGTGGTTAATTAATGTACCTATACAGAAATTTATTAATAATAATAATATGAACTTTGACTTCATCTTCTTTCAGATTAACACAATTGGAGTTATATTTAAAAATATCATGGCTCTTCCAAGCTTTATAATGGGAGTGAATGGTACCAAAAAGCACATCCATCCATCCATGATCCATCCATTCACCATACAAGTAATCCATGCGACTCCATGGGGTTAATAAAGGCCTTACAGTGAACTAGACCTGTAATACATTCTGAGTGTAGCCGTTGAATCGGTTCTAAATTCCAATAGATGTCAAAGGTCAACTGACCATATTTGTCTTGATTGTAGGATTGAACAAGGTGTTGTCTGAACAAAAAGGCATTTGATGTGTTCAGGACTTCCCTGTTGTCACTAGGTGGCAGTGTGGCATTTAAAATAATGATTTGGTTTTTAAACTTTCTTGACTGAAGTGAGAAGAGTAATAACCCTTTGTAATCATTTACACAACATCCGAATGCAAACAAAGTGAAAGGTCACACGCCAATCTTTTGAACTGCCCTTTCCAGATTTATCACAGAAGCTGGGGATAATCCCAGGACAGCCCTGGATAACTTTCCAGGCCTTATTTACAGTAACAGGACTCCTAAATTAGACATAACCCTAATCTTTCTGCTGGGGACTGCTTTCATTCCACAAATAGCCTAATCTAAGGGAATGACGGGAAATGCCAGTCACGGGATATTTTATAGGATAAACTCGATTTTATATCCTCACACAGGCCTGAAAAGTATACAGTTGCTACATAATTGAGTTAATAAAGGAGTTTGATATATACTCTACTGTTATTAAAAGTTTTAGGATTAAACAAAACCCCTGCGGTTGTAATGGATGCACCCTGAACTTGATCCAAGAAATCATGTAACAGCCTAAACTTGCTTATTTACTACACGCCTGACAGCTGACAAAATAATGCTTCTCTTGGGGAGATGAGTTATGAATCATATTACAATCCGCCTCCTCCAAAACGGTCCAGTCCAAGCATACTTGAGCTCGAACACATTCAGTTCCATGGAAGAGACATGCAGGAACATCTGGATGAGGGGGAATATGCGTTCTTCTCCACAGCGAATCATTATCACTTTATTTGTTCATGATGTCTTTATGATATAGTCATGTTTCTCAAGTCAAAGAGAATAAAAAAATCATAATTTATATAATAGTATAAATATTACAAATGATAAAAAGTGTTTACAATAAGATCCCATTATATCATTAATGCATCAACGAACTTTAACAAACAATAAGCAATACATTTGTTACTGTATTTATTCATCTTTGCACTGTTAGTTCATGTTAGCTCAGTTCCATTAAATAGTTTTAACAGACACAACTTTTGATTTTAGTAATGTAGCCTATTAGTAAATGCTTGAACTGATATTAATTAAAGGACAACTCAGGCGCAAAATGATGTAATAACATTGGTACCGAGTCGACCGTTCTCTGGGATTTGTTTTCATGATAATCGAATGTATGAGTTTTATATCTAAAAACTGTTTAGCTTATAACGCTAGTATATAGGGAATAGAGTAAGTAAAAATAAATCGCTAGTTAATACCACTAACAAGGCTCAAAATAGCCCCACACTAACACGGTAGCAAAATGAGAGTCCCTACATGCAAACCGAAGCATTGAGGACTTTGTAAGTGTACAGACAGTTTAATAAGAAGATACTTTATAAAGACATACACTTCGCGTTTACAGGCAGGAGCCATCTTGGAAAACAGTCTCGACCAGTCGAACCACGAACGCCGTGCTAAGTCGCCGGAGTTGTCCTTTAAGCTTAATAAATGCTGTAGAATTACTTTTAATTGCTAGTTCATGTTAATAAAGTAGTTTATTAATTTAACAAGTAGAACATGATAGTAAAGTCTAAGGCCAAGCTGTTACAAAATATGTATATTTCAAATTAATGTTATTCTTTTGAACATTGTATTTAAGAATCCTAAAAAAAAGGTTTCCACAAAAATATTAATCAGAACAACCATTTTTAACATTAAGAATCAAAAATGGTTCTCGAGTAGAAAATCAAAATCTGAAGGATCATGTGACACTGAAGACTGGAGTGATGATGCTGAAAATTCAGTTTTGCATCACAGGAATAAATTACATTCTAAATATATTTAAATAGAAAACAGTTATTTGAACCTGCAAAAATATTTCACAATATTTCTGTTTTTAATGTATTTTGGATCA